GTTGCCGCGTTGCCTTTATGTAAGTCAGCTATCACGTTCCTCTCTTACGTTCCCTGCATCTTCGTTCCCTGCATCATCACCGTCTTTGGTTGAATATCAAGCAAGTGCCCACGCTCCTCCTGTCCACATCTTCTCCCCGAAGACGGAGCCAGTGGTCTGGTCCGTGCTGCCTTAGCCAATGCACAAGAAACGAAGGACAAGAAAAAATACCCCAAACAAGAGAGATCAAGGACGGATCCAGACCGTTGCTTGCCAACATCTCCCACTCGCCCAGCTCAGACCCTCCTTTCCATAACCTCCGCGCCTCGTGTCGCCCCTTGCCTATTAAAGAGTTTATCTTTTCTTTCCTGGGATCTTCCATCTCTACATGCACCCCCTCCCCAGCTGGACCCTACTCTTGCCTCCTCTGCGTTTCCTGTCTTCGGAACACGGCTGGTTTCCTCTTGTCTGTGCCTACACGCTCCAACCCCGGGCGTCTTCGACCAGTTTTCTTACCTCCTTCATTCGTCTATCCCTCATCTCCGCTTGCATCTCGTCATTTTTTTTCTTTCCATATCGTATTTACTCTCCTGGTCCTTCGGTTCTCTTGACCCTGCTTTTCTTCTTCTCCTCTGTCTTCACCTTTCTCATATCCTCGTCTCTTTATTTGGTTTCTCGTTCCTTATTCCCTTTCCTATTCAGGAAGCACTCTTTACTTATCTCGTTTGCATCACTAGAAGCCATTGGCAAACTTTGCCCAAACCTCCATTTCAACAGATCAACAACGCCCGTACCATTTGAAGGAGGATTGCCACGAGCAGTCTCCTCCTTCACCCACATCACCATCACCATGGGCAAAAATGTTTTCGCCGTCCAGGTGTTCTTCATCGTCTTCCGCGAATGTCTCGAGGCAGGCATTATCCTCTCGGTCCTCTTCTCGTTCCTGAAACAGGCCCTCGGTGGCCCTGACCAGGACCCTGCCATATACAAGAAAATGCGGCGGCAGGTCTGGCTCGGTGCAGGCACTGGTGTGCTCATCTGCTTCATCATCGGTGGCGCCTTCATCGGCGTCTTCTACGGCCTCGGCCGCAACATCTGGACTGGAACGGAGGAGCTGTGGGAGGGCATCTTCTACCTGATTGCGACCATCATCATCACCGCCATGGGCCTGGCCCTGCTCCGCATCAACAAGATGCGCGAGAAGTGGCAGGTCAAGATCGCCCAGTCGCTCGTCACGCACCACTCCATCAAGGACGGCACCTTTATGTGGATTCGCGAGTGGGGCCGCCGCAACGTCATGTTCATCCTGCCCTTCATCACGACCCTGCGTGAGGGTGTTGAGGCCGTCGTGTTCGTGGGTGGTGTCTCGCTGAGTCTGCCCGCCACCGCCTTCCCCATCCCCGTCATCACGGGCATAATCGCTGCTCTCATCATCGGCCTCTTGCTCTACCGTGGCGGCAACCACATGACCATCCAGGCCTTTTTGATCTTCTCGACCAGCGTCCTGTACCTGATTGCGGCCGGCATGTTCTCGCGCTCCATCTGGTTCTTGCAGTACTATGTTTTTGCCCAGCGCGTCGGTGGCGATGTCGCCGAGGCCGGCAGCGGGCCGGGCTCGTACGATATTTCCGCCACCGTCTGGCATGTCAACTACGGCAACCCCGAAATCAGCAACGGCTGGGACGTGTTCAACGCGCTGCTGGGCTGGCAGAACACGGGCACCTACGGCACCATCATCTCGTACAACCTCTACTGGCTGTTCATCATCGTGTCGATTGTCTTTTTGCTGTACGAGGAGCGCACTGGCTGGCTGCCGTTTGCCCGCCCCACGCTCAACTTTTTCAGCCGTGTTCCGGGCTTCAAAAGCTGGGCGCGAAAGCGGATTGCTGCCCACGAGGTGGACGCCGACGATGTCGTCAACCGTGTCCAGGCCGAGCACATGGTTGGTCAGAACTAAGCGGGCCGGTTCTACTATTCATGGGGACGGAAGATCTTTGGTCTGCTGACCAGGATATGGCCTTGATGGATGCAAACCCCCGTGCTGCCGTCTCTCCCAATGCTTTTCGCCATTGCCACACAGCCGTTTCTATATCGTCACGGAGAGGAAAGTGTGGATCGGGACAAATTATCAGAACCCTCGCGGGATTGCACATATTTTATGCTCAAAACACTCTTTCTCTGTCATCTCTATATCCTCTCACTCTCTCACAACCTATCATCTCGACAGGTTAAACACTGTCTCCGGAGAACTTGGTTGGTTTTTCGATATTTTTTGTATCATCTTTTCATCGTTACGTGACAAAGCCGGTGGGAGCGGAGGGGGAAAAGTTAATACCACTGTGTTATGTTCTTTTTAATTTGCTTTAGGTCCGATGTAAACACTCGATCGGATACGCGAGTGGCTCTCTCTAGCTGAACTTGCCTGGGTAGTATAAATGAAACACCCGTTATGAACACACAGGTCCTTTGTCGGCAAAAGGAGACAATTGACAGCAGGACATTGGTCTTTGCTGTTTGTAGATGCAACAGATACAGGAGGCTCAGGGAGGCTTACTTACCATACCTGTCCCTGCGGGCTTTGGTAAGTAAACTGTTTCTTTCGCAACATTAGCCATATTCTGGAGTGGAAGTACCCAAATGTCGGGTAACATTTCTCAAGCTTTTTCTTTGCAATACTTACGCTGGATCTAGTTGATCAATTACTTTACGACCAACTTCATGAGAGAACAATGTTACGTGACGAATAGAAACGAACTAGTTGGCTTGCGATGCTTTCTTTTGAGGCGGAAAATAAACAACACCCTCAGGTTGAGATATCGTTCTGATGCATATCGCAATGCCCATCTTACTAGTTGGTTGAGTCTTGTGACAATCCACGTGATAGTGTACGTGACTACCTTTACCAAATCTGTCATCGCGTAGGATGGCCCTCATCACCAATCTGGACTTTCCGCCTTCCCGTTTGATCATGCCCAGCGTCCTGTTTCTTGGCACACGGCACATCACTTTAGATGCAATGCGGGACGATGCGGTGGGATGCTCGCTTGATACGATCCCCTCAATGACGATATTGCTTCCCTCGGTCGTTGTTTTGTTTGCTCCTTCCATTTCTGGTTTTCAACTCGGGTTGGCTGGCTTTTGCCTCCTTCGCTTCTCTTGCTGACTTTTCGCCGCGCCGCCCTTTGTTCCTTCCATGTCAAATCTTCTGCGTCCTTGCCAAAAATTACGAAAACCTTATGCTGTGGTTCCTCGTATTCATTTTGCTGTCCGACTTCCGTCGCGTCTGGTAAAATAGCCTCTGCTGCGCCTCAATAGTCCAATTTTGTTGGCTCCCAGTACCCGGAGTCCATGTTGTAGCACGCTGACGCTGAGATGTTTTCACTTCTATCGCCTGTAACACATTTACCACGCCTAGTAAGGTACGACATACTAGAGAACTCCGGCAGCTTGTGAATAGCGCCAGGAGAAACAAAGTAGCAGTCTAACAGTGACAGCTGCCATTTCCCGCGTTGGCTGTTAGGCGCTACAAGTTGTGTCCAAAAATAGGGGGTTGCGCCTTCCCCTTTCCAAGACCGCGTCGTTTCCCCTGTAACGACCTGCCAAAGCAGCAAAACAGTGGTGAAAATCTCACAAGGCTAGTCCAAAAGAGGCATAATCTACGACATCGATCCCTGTAGTGAGGTACGTATGTCCTCCCTTTTCTCTCATTTTCGCTCTTCCAGTGCCGCCACTGAGCATACACAGGCAGCAGATGGTCTGGCCCAAGCCCCGTAACGCCCAGATCAATTTGCGCAATTCCCTGCTTTTTGGGCTTGTGCTCCGCTGGAATGGGTGATGTGGATGGCCCAGTTTATGGAGTGAACGCTTCCGTCGTTCCTTCCCTGCCGCCATATCTGCTCCCCCGTTGTCGCTTTTGCAGTGGTGCGTGCCTGCCTTTGGCAGTTCGTTGCCATCTGTTGGCTCTTTCTGTTCTGGAAACAAGGCAATTTGTGATGCCCCCCTGCTCTGTCTTTGACGCCCTCCACTCGCTGTCGTGTCTGCCCCCCTTCGCCCTGTAGCACCGAAGCACCCGCCGTTCGTCACTTCCCCCATTCTCTCGCGTTCAACAAAGGCCTTTTTTTTGTCTGTCTTCTTGCTCTCCAGTTATTTCGTCGCGGTCCCCCTATTCTCTCGTTTTATCTTTCTCTTTTGCAACCTCAACTCTCGCTGCGCACGATTTCCTCCTGCAACTTTTCGCTCGTTTGATCCAACTTCGTCGTCCTTTTCGTTTTCGACATTTTCCCCCCCAATTCCAGCCGAGATTTCCTTGCTCCAATAGACGAAGCCAAGAGGTAGTCAGCGCCAAGACAAAACCTCCAAGAAACTCCCAAGAGTCCAAGAACGACCAAGCATCGTCCAAGAAACATACCAAGAGACGCGATCTGTTGCTCAAGACGGCCTGGCCCTCGCTTCGTCTTGTCTTGCCCCAACCGACACAGCCGGCCCTCTGGCGGTGCCAAGCGCGGCAGTGGAAACAACACCGATCACGATCTAGATTTCGACGGCAAGGAATCGTTGAAGAACGAAGAACGAAGCACGAAGAATACACCAAGGATCACTTACGCCAGCGTTTTTGACGATGGCTCCGTCGCTGCTGAAAACCCTCCTCGTCGCGGTGGCTTGCGCCTCCACGGCCAGCGCCCAGATCGATGTCGACCTGACTTCGTCCGGTGCGTACATTTTCCTCCTTTTGCCCACCTTTCGTCCTCTTTACTACGCCTGCCACATCATCCATCGTGAACGACCTTTTGGACCACCCACGATGCGCAGGCTCTCTGCTGCATAAGTGAACGCGTCATAGTTTTTGCGCACTGAATATTGGCACAAGGGTTCCACATGCCAATGCTCGTGGGGTTGGTCTTGGCGCGCTGGCATGGATTTGGCAGTGTGTGATTGGGGGAGCTTGGCATCGTATTCGATCGCATCGTGATTGTGATGACGGCTAACCATGACTTGCAACCACAGCATCGGTGAAGAATGCGATGGCAACAATTGCTCACAACCTCTTGTCCTATTACAAGGGCAATCTGTCAGGTATGATTTATTTTCATATTTTAGTCCTTGCCGCCCCCCCGCTCCCCCCCAACAAGGACAACAAATGGCTGACCATTCCCCCAGGCATGACACCCGGTATTCTCCCCGGCCCTCCGCCAAACGGTGACTACTACTGGTGGGAGGGCGGCGCAATGTGGGGTACGATGGTAGATTACTGGCTCTACACCGGCGACACCTCCTACAACCCGACCGCTGAGTACGCCATGGTGTACCAGGCCGGCCCGCCGGCTAACAGTTACGAGCCGGCCAATTGGACGGCGTCCCTGGGCAATGACGATCAAGGCTTCTGGGGTATGACCGCTATGCTGGCGGCCGAGTCCAACTTCCAGAACCCGCCGGAGAAGGACCCCCAGTGGCTTGCTCTGGCCCAGGCCGTCTTCAACACCCAGGCTGCCCGCTGGGACACACAGTACTGCAATGGTGGTCTGCGGTGGCAGATCCCCCTCTCCAACAACGGCTACGACTACAAGAACAGTATTGCGAACGGTATTTTCTTTAATCTCGGCGCCCGTCTGGCCCGGTACACTGGCAACGATTCGTATGCGACCTGGGCGGAGACTGCTTACAACTGGACGGCCGACGTTGGCTACATTGACTCCTCGTTCAACATCTACGACGGTGCCCACGTCGAGCACAACTGCACTGACATCAACAAGGCGCAGTTCTCGTATACTGCTGCAGCGTTCATCCAGGGCGCTGGCTTCATGTACAACTACGTGAGTTTCCCACATTTTAGTCCTATTCATTTTTTTTTAAAAAATTTCTTCCTTCTAACCTGCATTACAGACCAACGGATCCGCTCTCTGGGGGCAGCGTCTGACAAGTTTGACGAACCGGACCCTCGATGTGTTCTTCCCCAACGGTATTGCCGTTGAACTCGCCTGTGAACTGCCGGCCTCGATCCAGTGCACGCCCGATATGCTTTCGTACAAGTGCTACCTGCACCGTTGGCTTGCCCAGGTCACGCAGATGGCACCTTTCCTCTCGCCCACTATTCTTCCAGTCCTCAAGACGTCTACCCAGGCCGCCATGAAGAACTGCAACCCCGACGGCACCTGCGGATTCCGCTGGACGACAGGCTCGTACGACGGCCTTACTGGTGCTGGTCAGGAAATGAACGCCCTCGGCGCCCTGATGAGCGTCATGATCACCCTCGAACCCGTAAAGGCCGCCTTGACTAATTTGACGGGCGGTACGAGTGTGGGTAACGCGGCGGCCGGCGTTGGCTCAACGGTCTCCGTAACCACGTACGGCCCCATCACGGCGGGCGACCGTGCCGGTGCGTCGATCCTCACCATTCTCATCATCAGCGGCATTGTATCCATGCTGGTGTGGATGAGCACTGGCGAGGGCGAGGGCTTCCGCCTTGGCCTGTTTGGCAAGGGAAAGGGCATGTTGTAAGCGTCGTCGGACCTACAATCTGAGTGCCCATTTTTATTTTGTGCATACCATTTTCTTCTCATTTTAACCATTTTTCCTTTGGTTTTTTCTTTTGCTTGCTATTGGATCACGGCCGACTGGCACCATACACATGACTAGTTCCCTTAGACGGAGAATACGTCGCTTGAGGTTGGACACTCGGAGACAGTTCCCCCTTTTGCGTGTTTCTTCCGTATGCATTTGCATACACCCTTCCTATTTCTATTTCGTTGATTTTGAAACTGCTGGTCCCTTTTCGAGGCCCGAGTGGCGTCGAAAGCAGTCGGCGTTTGGGATAAAGCACATTCACTATTTTTCTTTTTTGATAATTTTATAGTTTGTCTTTAGCTTTTCCTTTTGGTCATATTTTTGTCTCGATCTTCTTCCGAGGCAGAACTACCTCCTACAACCGTCGTGCTAATGTTATTTAACTATTTCTCAATATTTATTTCCTTCACTATGAGTCTGTCACAACATATTTACTCATTTGGATGAACTTTGAACATACATACAGAATACGGACACACACAAGAATACAAGAGCTTACGAAAGCACTATTTTACAGGTACCAAAACAATCTCGTCGATTCAGGCGGGCTCCACATCCTGGGCGACCTCGCGGCGTATCTGGATGCCGGGGCCTGTCAGCAATGTCAACCCGAGGGCTTCGGCCTCCGCCGTCGACGGCCGATTCGCCTCGATGGAGGTGACTGTCCCCTGGCGCAGACCCAGGTAGGCGTCCCGGTCAATGGCCAGCGGGTCGGCTGGGTTGAGGGACGGCATGGGGGGTGCAATGGCGGGTGCGGCCAGCGCGGCGGACGGCGATTTGTCGTTTCGCGGACCGCCGGCACTGCTGCTTCGGCTCTTCTCGCGGCCGGCTCCGATGCTCCCAGCCGTGCCGGCGACGCCAATGCCCGCGTTGGCGGCTGTGCTGACACCGTCGGCGACCGCAGCGGCCATGCGGCGCAGGTGGCTGTAGCTGTAGGAGCGGGGCGGCGAGGGGGGCGGCAGCGATGCCGCTGGCGACTGGGCGCGCGTGGGGGCCGCGGAGGACGGTGCCGACGGCCCCTTCTTGCTCTCCGCCCTGCTTCTGTTGCTGCCACCACCGTTGCTGCCGTGGCTCGCATTGTGGTCGTCATCGCCGTCCTCGTCGTCGGACAAGAAGAAGGTGGCGCCGGATTTGGTGCGTCGGTGCGCATCCACGGTCGGCTTGGTCCCGTTGCGGCGGAGCGCCTGTGCGGCCTGGCCTAGCATCTCGGCGCGGCTACTGCTGTTGTTGCGGGTGTTGGCACCGCGGTGCGAGGGCGTCGTCATCAACGATGACTGTTGCGTGACGAGGCTGCTGGGCGACGCCGTCGTCGTCATCGTGGCCGCTGCGGGCGGCGGCGAAGCAGCGGCCTTCTTTTCTAGGTCGCCGCCAACTCGGTTGCCGCTGTCGTTGTCGTTGGCGTCACTGTTGTCATGGCGGTAGCGGTAGTGCTGTGACTGGTAGTAGTCGCGGCCGGCCCACTGCATGTACCGGTCGAGGTCGCTGTCGCTCTCCATGTCGCTGCCGCTGCTGGCGGTCCGTGGTCGGCGGTTGCGGGCCATGCGGAGGGTGTTTCGGTTGCGGTTGCGGTCTCGGTCTCGGTTCACGCTGCGGCCCCGGCCGTGTCCGCCAGGGCCATGGAAGCCGCTGTCGCTGTCACTGTTACTGCTGTCACCCAGCGAGGAGGTGCTTCGAAGATGGCTCGTGGTTCTTGTAAAACTCAAGCCAATCTTGTCCGAGGTGGTGGCTGCGGGCGACTCGGCTGCTGGGACAGCTTGCATCGTTGCTTGTTGGGCTGCGGAGGGGTGCTGGTGGTTGAACAGGTTGAAGTAGTAGGAGGAGACGGGCCGGTGCGGCCGGGGCGGGATGATCATTGTGCGGCTGGTGCGACGGACCATACCATCGGCGTTGGTGTCGGCGTCGGTGTCAATGTTGGCCGGCGTGGCGTCGTCGTCCCGCGTGGACACGGATTTGAGGCGGTACCCGTCGCGGCCAAAGGTGTGGTCGAGATCGTGGCCCAGGTCGGTGAAGCCACCCAAGCTGTTGGCGTAGGCGTTGAGGTACGCGGACTGGCGGTGGCGGGTCGAGGTGCGGTACATGTTGGGGTTGTTTCCGTGGGTGGTTTGGTTGTGGTTGTGATTGTGGTTGTGGTAGTAGTTGTTGTTGTTACTGCCATAATGATGACGCAGCGGCTTGGGCAACAGATGGAACAATATGGGCCGCAGGGTCGGCAGCGACGAGCATACAATGGCGCAGCACAGCTCGCTGATGGACCAGCACGCGGCGGCCACGTTGGTGTAGGTGTCGTCGCCGTTCAGGTTCAAAAAGGAGATGCGGATGACGGAGATGGCGCAGGTGAAGAAGCCCAGGCCAAAGACGGCAATCAGCGACAGCCGCTGCGACTGCGGCAGGTTGAGGCGCCACAGGACGGGGATGGGCAGGGCGAAGATCAAAATGTCCGTGGCAATGTTGCCGGCGGCGTTGATGTACCACTGGGGCAGGTCGGAGATGCAGTGGTGGTTGGGGACGGACTTGTCCCAGAAGGCGTGGATGGGCTGGCAGGCAAAGACGCCGGCGAGGAAGAGGGCGGTGCTCCAGAGGCCGATGAGCACGAGCACGACGAGGGTGATCTTGCGCATCTTGACGGCAAAGACGCGCAGGTACTGCAGCAAGATGGCGGTCTTGACGGTGCCGAGGCAGGCATAGTAGAAGACAATGGACAGGTAAAAGTACATGTTGTAGGTGGTGATCTGGTCGGCCGTCAGCGTCCACATGTGGCGGCCGAAGCCCTGGGTGGTCATGAGCAGCATGGTGATGCCGTCGACGACTGCGAGCACGAGGGCCGCGAGCATGGTCCAGTCGTCGGCGCCGACGGCATCGGCACGGCGGCTGAGGTAGCGGCGCGTGTAGATGCGCAAAAAGACGACGGCGGTGGTGAAGGGCAGGAGGAACGAGACGACGCCGATGACGACGCTGCGTCGGCTGTCGTTTGAATGCCGGTCGCCATGTGTGCCGTGGTGGCCGTCGCCGTGGCCGGCGGGGATGGTGGTGGCTGACGGAGTTGGCGATGTGTCTGCCGTCGCTGTCGATGCGGCGGTGGTCAGGTCGGTCGTCAGCGTCGTCGCCAACGTGGCGAGCGTCGAGGCCGCGGCAGACGCTGCTGTGCTCGCGATGGACATTGTCACGCGCGGCTGCGAATATACGAGAGGTGGCCAGCAAGTATGAGCATCACGGGACACGCAGCGGTTTCACATTGTGGTTTGAGGGCGTTTGGCAGCCGAGAAATGGAATGTGTTTGTCGGCGTGTGTGATGGAGACGACATCGATGCAAACAGATGATGGCACTCAGAGAAAGAGGCGAAGAAAGACTATCCTGACTTGCCAGGGCAGGCCCGAAGCGAAGAGCAGGAACTCCCCATGGTTCATTTGGTGCCCCCTCCTCCTCTCTCGCTTCTGTCCGGAATGGACAAGCGGGATCTCCATTATGAGAAATAAATTGAGAGGAGGGAAAGGGGACGACAGAAATAACGAGAAAAGAAAAGACCGGCCGGTCGCCAACTGCAAGACAGTCAAAATCGATATAAAACCACTTTACGCGGGTAAGACGCGGCAGAAGGAAGCGGAGGCTGTATGCTGCAGCCATATTAATGGACGTCCTCTCACTTGCCCATTCCAGTTCCATTCCAGTCTATTCCGCTTGCCACTCACACACATGCACCGTCTACTTCGGCTGTTTTATATTGCCGCTCTCGTTATTATCCCCAGATGTCGTGTGGGCGCCTGCCAGTCAAATACGATCGGCTGGCGATGCAATCCATGCTGATCTTGTCGGCGTCCTTTTGGTTTCTTGCCATGAGCTCATTGTTGCACGCATGGACCTTCAAATGAAGATAATGAATGATCTGCACAAGAATGGGTAAATTGGAGCGAAGAAGGGGCAGATGGGCAAACATGCGAGATTTGTTGCGTTTGACCTTTGATGTTGGTCCGTTTTTAAATCGTCTGCCACTCTGTCCTCAATTTAGCCGCGAAGATGTTGGTCGTCGTAAGGAGGCACACGTTCCTTATTGTACAGATCTTTCGGGCACAGCAGCCATGGTATATAAATGAGAAGTGACGTTGGCATCGGAAAAGAACAAATGGCACGAGAGAGAGAGAG